CATAATTAACTGATTGTAAACACCTGTGATGATCCGCTGATGATACAATCACCATCATCAGCGGTTTCACAGGTTTCTTTTAATTTATTCATTACAACTTTCAAGTTGGGACTGCTGTATATGTCCCCTTTTATAAATTTTTCCTGGAAAGATTGGACCATGTAATAAAACAGTGTTCCCCAACCTTTTTGTTCCCGTGGACCATCAAATTTCCATAAATTTTTTGGTGGACCAGCAAATTCCCATAAAATTGTCTGTGGACTGGCAAAGTTTCATAAAATTTTTACAGACTGGAAAAATGTTTGCTTTATGGACTTTATAGCAAGTACAGTATATAAAAGTTTTTGCTTCTTGCAAAAATTAAGTTAAATACGTATGAAGCAACTATAGCTGAACGTCATCCAAAACTTGGAAAGGAGAAAATTAAAATAATGTATTTCATCAGGTAAAAATGTGTCTGAACCAGCATTATTAGGATAAAAGCCAACTTTCATGTTTCATCAAATGCTTTCAACTGCCTGTCTTTCCAAAGTTTTAGATGATGATAACAGAGTTCATTGCTAATTTTAATAACTGTATTATGATGAAAATTTGCCGTGGACCAGCAAAAAAATGTTCTACAGACCACCAATTGGGGAACACTGTAATAAACCATTTGTTGAAATTAAGTTTAGGCTTGCATTTTTTTATGAGGTAACACCAACTGTGTGATACTGAAATGTAACCTATCAATGGTTTCGGAACACTCGCATGAAAGCACCCCGAGATGATATGAAAGCACACCGGATGATGATGATGAGATTCCTTTCCGCATTCCGCGCATCAATCACAGGGTTTCTGGGCCGAGACGATTCCGTGATCCCTGGCAACTTCGGAATGAAGGATATCGTGATGGCTCTGAAATGGGTGAACAGGAATATCAGGAACTTCGGGGGAGATCCTGCCAGAATCACTCTTTTCGGACATAGCACGGGGGCCATGACAGTTCACGGATTAGTGCTTTCACCAATGACCAAAGGTATACTGTACTGTGCAGTGCTGAGTGCAATAGAACCCCCATGATATTCATGGTTCTACCAACGGCGAATGTTGGCAGAAAACTGTTTTATTTTCTTTTATTTTAAGCCTAGCCATTTACAGTGAAATATCATTACAACAAGTAATATTAATTGTTTTCAGTATAAAAAATTCTCAAGTCCCAACAGAATCCTCAAAATGAACATGTCAAAACAATTTCACAATAAGAAACTTTATGAAAAATGTTCAATGGATTCCCCAGATAAGAAATTTTGTGACTATAATAATGTTTCTGGTAGTGCTGTTGAGAGCTTGGGAGGGTCTTCCTATTCTAGTGATTATTTCAAGGATATCAGATAAATTTAGCATGTTCTTCATATTCATTAAAATTCACTGCAAAAACTTTGTAATTGCTGTATTTACTCAAGTACTATGCGCACCTTTTTTCTCAAATTTCAGAAAAAAAAGGGGTGCGCGTCATATAAGCAGGTACAAATTTTTGGAGAATTTTTTGAAAGTTCTATGTGCATTATACTTAATCATAATGGAGAAATTTGGAAAAAAGTGGCAAGAAAACTTTTTTTTTACTGAAAAAGTTGAAAATTGGTCAGATTTTTGTTAAATTCTAGTCTAAAGTCAAACTTTTTGTTTTTATTTTCAAAATTTTGTGGTTTTAGATTTACTAAAAATTGGGGTGTGGGTCATACTCCAGGATACAATTTTAGCCAAATTTCCAACTGAAAAAAGCCTGCTGTGCGTGCCTTACTTGAGGGCGCAGGGTACTCGAGTAAATACGGTATATTGCATTGTGCATGTTTATGATTTTAAATTATACATGGGCTTCATTTAAAAGAAAAAAGCAACCTATAGCCAGCAGGAGCAGCATAATTGGTGTTTGATAGCTGCACCTCTTTGAACCTTTGAATGACACAAAATATATTTATTTCATTTGCAATTAGGTCTCAAACTCAGAAGCATTCTGAACATAGTAAAAAATTTGTCAAATATGCACTTGTTTGTGTGTCAGAAAATTTCAATCAGCTATCAAAGAAGTTCATCAATGAAGTTACATGAAAGTGGTTTTTGCATCAAGTTCTTATACAGCGCTGGGCAATATAGTTTTTGGCCCTGTTGGCAGAAACTCAATCTACTTTTTTTAAAAACAAATTTATATTTTTGATGGCTTGCTGCATTTGATCTCCTGAATTATATTGATGAAAGGTTCACTTATAAAGTCAGCAACTTGCTATTTTTCATCCAAATGAATTGCTCATGGGAAAGCAAACACAGAAAACCCTCTTAACCATATTAATTTTCTGGCTCTGAGCAGCTAAAATACTGGGAACTGGTATTGAATGTGGGATTTAATTATCTTTCTGATATTTCCCAAGGCCTGTTTGGTGCTGCCATCATGCTTAGTGGCACATTGATGAGCTGGGCACACAGACCTCAGGGAAAGCCAGTTGCTGATGCAATAGCAGCTTATGTCAACTGTCCTACCCAGGAAGAAAACTTTTTTGTACTGAAAAAGTTGAAAATTGGTCAGATTTTTGTTAAATTCATGTCTAAAGTCAAACTTTTTGTTTCTATTTTCAAAATTTTGTGGTTTTAGATTTACTAAAAATTGGGGTGCAAGTCATACTCCAGGATACAATTTTAGCCAAATTTCCAACTGAAAAAAGCCTGTGCATGCCTTACTTGAGGGCGCATGGTACTCAAGTAAATACGGCATATTGCATTGTGCATGTTTATGATTTTCAATTATACATGGGCTTCATTTAAAAGAAAAAAGCAACCTATAGCCAGCAGCAGCAGCATAATTGGTGTTTGATAGCTGCACCTCTTTGAACCTTTGAATGACACAAAATACATTTATTTCCTTTGCAATAAGTTCTAAAACTCAGAAGCATTCTGAACATAGTGAAAAATCTGTCAGATATGCACTTGTTTGTGTGTCAGAATATTTCAATCAGCTATCAAAGAAAGGAGTTCATCAATGAAGTTATATGAAAGTGGTTTTTGCATCAAGTTCTCATACAGCGCTGATGTTCTCTGGGCAATATAGTTTTTGGCCTTGTTGGCAGAAACTCAATCTACTTTTTTTTTAACAAATTTATATTTTTTAAGACTTGCTGCATTTGATCTCCTGAATTATATTGATGAAAGGTTCACTTATAAAGTCAGCAACTTGCTATTTTTCATCCAAGTGAATTGCTCATGGGAAAGCAAACACAGAAAACCTTCTTAACCAAATTAATTTTCTGGCTCTGAGCAGCTAAAATACTGGGAACTGGTATTTAATGTGGGATTTAATTATCTTTTCCTATAAAGGGTTCCGGACAAACCACGACGGTAGTACGAATCACCGTGTAACTACTCGACCCGTGTGTCTGGAGTCCCTTTCGGTCAACGACTACGTTATCGTCGAATACAGTTGACAGGATGGGTCCATTCATCAGCCATGTTGACATGCCTGAGGAAACGACCAGCAAAGCATCTCATGAAAGCCATCAGCACATTTTTTGTGAGTAATATTGATTATTTACAGTCAAACCCCTGTGCGTCAATCTTTGAGGGACCAGCAAGAAAAATTGAGTTGAAGAAACAAGAATCTTAGTTGGAAAAAAGAAAGAAGAATTACTGTGAGAATTTTAATTGGTGATGTGATGGGCCATAAATTGCTTCTTAACAATTTACAATCAAGCCTCTATATGTGTCAAACTTTAAGGGACCACCAAAGAAAGTTGAGTTAGGCAAACAAGCATATTGGTTGGGGAAAAGAAAGAAAAAATAGCAGAAAGAAACTGTGATTGGTGATATCCTGGATTGTAAATTACTTCTTTAATGAATTGACAGGAAATGATATATTTGGAGACAATTGTTCATTTACAAAATTAGTCTTTTCTTCCATCTTTCAAAACACAACATTTTAACCCTTGTGTGGCAAAGGTGTGATATTATTGAAAACTTTTGTTTCACTGAATACTGGAAATTTAAAAAATCCTACTTTTGCACCAAGGACTAAGTTGGGGAAAAGGCCCAATATTTTTTTAATCTTGCAGAAAATTTTGAATGAAAAATAAATAAATCCCTCACTGGTATTTTTTTTTGCATTCCTGGCATAGGATTAGCATAGAAGATTCCTGAAAACAATAGAAAATTTGCCTCCCAGATTTTCCCAACTTTGGCCTTCTCAACCGGGGAGCATTTCAGTTACCTTGGGTCAAACTGGAATTCCCCCCCCCCCCCAAATACCCCAACTCCACCATGCAATTGAAAGGAACCCTCCACTACCTGAGGGTTACATTTGTTATTGCTAAACTTTTTCCAGCATCAATAAAATTATAGTCATAACATAAGGCATCCAGAAAATTTAATTTATGGAGGTTTGAGTGAATGAGGAAAGCCTTTGAGTTAGTGAAGTTTTCAATGCATTTTTCTGAGGAATTTTTTCCAGGGACTTTAAAAAATTTTGAAATAGTGTGATATTCCATATTGGGAGGTTTGAGTCATCAGGGTTCAACTGCTTTACATTACTGTATTCTAATTGATTTGAGCCTTAATCCGTTTGTGAAATGTAAGAAAATATATGTGAGCAAAAGAAGATAGAAATTAAAAGTACAGTACTGTATTATTTTCAAAGCTTATTGTATTTGCACTGGAATCTAAAGCACAAGCAGTAGCAAAATGCAAATTATACCAGCAGATCAGTCCACACATTTAAGAATACATTCATGAGCAATAGAGGATACAAATTATGTTCAAAGCTGTTTACTGTATATTGGTGCTTGATTATATAAGCCACGACAGGAGAAGCAAAACCAGAATTACCAGCAAATTTCCTGAACTGGGTTCCTCGTCGTCGCGAGTTGTTCACTTCATTTAAGTACCCACTGGTCTCCTGAAATCTCACTTGTTGCCGCGGGTTTTCCGCGAAAGTACCCATCATGCAAACACATATACATCTATATATTTTTCGTTCATTAATCTTCTTGTTTATCATCCTCTCTGGAGTAATACTGCTGCACATGTCTCTTTGCTGCTGCTGCTGCTTTGAAGTGGTTCTGCAGCAGCAGCTTTGATATGGTGGGATTTCTTCCGCGCACAGCGAGACGGGTCAAGATACGCATTGCCATTCGGGGTTCTGGTGGATTCCGAGGCAGCAGAGCCGTTCCTTCCTCGTCACCCTCTCCTCATCATACAAGACGGGAACTTTAATCAAGTCCCCTTGATATTCGGGAACATGGCGGAAGACTTCAAGTTCTTCTACCCGGGTCGGTATATATATACACAAGGGTTGGTTCATAAGTTTTGAGTGACTTGCTGGAATAGGCCATACAGGGTTTCACAGTCGACCAAGAACAATTTTTACATCAGTATATATACAAGGGTTGGTTCATAAGTTTTAAGACTTGCTGGAAATAGATCATTCAGAGTTTTACTGTCAATCCAAAAACAATTTTTACGTCGGTATATACACAATGGTTTGTTCATAAGTTTTGAGTGACTTGCTGGAATAGGCCATTCAGAGTTTCACAGTTGCATTTTATGTTGATATACACAAGGGTTATGAATGAATGAACAGAACACTTATTTGCCACTTTTCAGCATTCACAAGTCACAACCAAGACGCCTGCATCCAAACCCCCTCCCCACCCAACCAAAATCCCCTCAAAGACATTCAATCACTTCAAAGCAGGACACAAAGCACAAATTGATGACAAAAATAAATAGAACACAATCCACAAAATAAAACTGGACATCTGAAATGAATGCATACACCCACCCATTTCCTGAGATTGAAAACAAAGTAGCAGTAAAAGTTTATTTAAAGCACAAGGTCTTCAGCTTGCTTCTGTATGAGGTTTAGTTGAAGGAACAATTTAGAGAGAATCTTTGATGAGAAATCATATAAGGCCAACAGTTCATCTTGATCCTTTAAGATTTCAGAAAGTGTCTCTTCATTGAATTTCAGTACTTTTAAATCTTTCTTAAGCTGATTCCTATCCATAAGAAATGCTGGACATAAAAAGAGAAGGTGCTCCGGTGATGCACAAACTAATGTATTTATGCTACAGGAGTTATTAAAAGTTATTTGATTGATACTCATTCCATGATGAAGGGTGAAAATTGAATGCGGAACCAATTTTCTTTTACTTATGCACCTAAAATTTAATTAATCCCCTCAACTGGAATCCTAATTTTTTGTTTCAAAGTTTGTATATGCCTTTGAGTCCACGTTTTTGGAAGCTTCAGTTATTTCTGGAACATTGTCAAGAAAGGTTGACATTGCAAGGTACCTTTCTGTCCTTTCTTTTGTCCATGTGGACTATTTGCCCTCTGGGCTGACTCTTCATTGTCATTCACCACATTTGATGAAGAGTGTGTATATTTTAGAAAGCTTATCTAATACAAGTCTGGGGGTGCCCAGCCAAACCTGGACAACATTGGGTGAAATATATGATTTCCAGAAACTTGAAAGTATATCTAACAAACTAAAGTACCTTACCCTATACTGTACTAGAACCTACCCTACCTAACCCAACAATACCAACAAACTACCCTACTACCTGCTTTTCTAAATGCAAGCACATGTGCACCAGGATTTTTAAAATTTTACAGCAAGTTGGGGAACAAATATTTTTAAAGCCTGAATGATTAGTCTTAATAAAATAAGCTTTTTAGGAATGAATCCAGAATAATTCATGCCTTGAGATTGGTTTTCATGATTGATTAGTGTAATTCAACTCTTGGATGGTGGATGGTTCCTGGCCATCCTGTAACAAAGTCAGGATTTGGGGGGGGGGGGCATTTTAGTTTGGCTTATTGTCACTGAAATGCACCCAGGTTGCCAAGGCCTAATAAGTTGGGAAAAAACTGGTTGCAGAAAATCCCATTGTCTCAAGAAATCCCTTATGTTAATTCTATGCTGGGAATCATGAAATAAATGCCACCCAGCAACTTATAGGCCTTGGTTCAAAAATCATATTCGCTTCAATTTGCTGCCCTTGTGAGGACAACATTTTGCAAAAATATCCCAATTTTGCTGCACAAGGGTTAATAAGTTACTCAAACTTATAGAATGTACTGTAAATTGGTTTTTTTTTAATCCACATTTCTTGAACCTTTCTGAAGCTTGAGTTATCTCTGGAAACATCAAGTCAAGAAAGGTTGACATTCCAGGGTAAATTTCTGTCCTTTTTTATATTGTGGACTATTTGCCCTCTGGGGCTGGCTCTCTTCCTCCTTCACCACCTCTGATGAAGAGTGTGCCTATTTTAGAAAGCTTATCAAATACAAACTGTGGGCTGTATATATGCCCGGGTCGTGTGTACCCATGTATTTTACCCAGTTATACACAGAAGCAACCAAGAAGAAGAAGAAGAGAGGAGAATACAGGGAAGATGTTCCTCGCGCGCCTGCGCGCGCCTAGACATGTTTGCTCGCGAATATAAGGGGGAGCAAATGGCCGCCACCTGGGCACCAAGTGAGCACACAGAGCCCATGTATATAATATACAGGGGGGACGCCAAATGCTGCGTCGTTTGCTCAAACCTCTGGGCTTTACAAACACAGCCTGTGTGAAACACGCGCAGTAGTGTGCCTGGGAAAAGCAAACTGTCGTCGACTTTTTTCACCACCTCCCCCCCCCCTTCTCCTTCTGTATACTGTACTGTATTTTATGCTTCAATGCACGGGTCTGTTCTGTCTCAGGGGGCTGCCACAAAGTTTCTAACAGGATGAGGTCATTGCATGAAAACATCATGTCATACATCTTATGAGTTTGATTCCCACATAAAAGGAGAGATTTCAATGAATAAATGAATGAATGAACAGAACACTTTATTTGCAGCTTTTCAGTGTTCACAAGGCACAACCGAGACTCCCACATCCAAATCCCCTCCCCCCCCCCCCCAACCCAACTCCCCCCAAAGACATTCAATCCCTTCAAAGCATGAAACAAAGCACAAACCAATGACAAAAACAGAAGAGAACACACTCCACAAAATGAAACTGGACATCCTACATGTATGTTGCATACACCCACCCATCCCAAATATTGAAGACAAAGCAGCAGTAAAAGTTTATTTAGAGTACAAGGTCTTCAGTCTGTTTCTGTATGAGTTTTAGTTCAATGAACAATTTAGAGAGAATCTTTGGTGAGAAATCCTGTAAGGCCAAAAATTTATCTTGATCCTTTAAGATTTCAGAAAGTGTCTCTTCATTGAATTTCAGTAATTTTAAATCTTTCTTAAGCTGATTTATATCCCTTTGAAATGCTGGACATGAGAAGAGAAGGTGCTCTGGTGATGCACAAACTAATGTATTTATGCTGCAGGAGTTACACCACTTAGAAACCTTTGAGAGTTGAATGAATTTTTTACTAAAGTGCCAGGAATTTGTTAAAATAGCTACAGCATCATGTATTAATGGGATGTCAAATAAAGCTTATTTTAAATCAAATCAAATCAAATATACAAGGCTTGGCTTAATCATTGGGTCTAACTGCATAGTGTATATATACAGTAGAATTCCATCACAACACATCTTGTTATGACAAATTTTTCATTACAATTTGTTATTGGTTCTGGCAGTTTCCCATGTGTGTAATTTTATAAAAATCTCATAACAATTAACTAATTTTGAGCTGTGGTCTCATTACAGTATACAAATTACAGTGCAGCATTCCAATCACATCAAAAAGTAATTGTTTTTTCAAAGAAAACTTGCTGTTCCAAAAATACTAAACATGATGTATTGCTTGGAAATTCAGCAGTTCAATTCTAGATTATATGCTTTTCTCTAATACTGTATATACAGTATGTTTGAGAGAATTTTCCTCTGTCAACAAGAACATGCATGAATGAAAATTTGTATTCAGAAGGAAGCATTCCTCTCACATTTACTCATGTTCAATGCATACATTGTATATTTTGAGACAATTGTCACTTTTTATTAGAAGGGCAGGTTCAGTAGAGGGAAAGTACTATTTATTCCAAGTTTTCATTCCATTTCATCAGGAATACTCATTATTTATGATAGAAAATTGCATGATTTGTTTTGGAAGCACTTGAAAGTATAGTACAATATATTTTGCCCCTTTCCCACAAAATGTTAGTCCAAATTTCGCTAGAAACAAAGAATCTCAATACATCAAATTTTGTGTTATAATAATTCTTGTACCAAGTCCCTGGGAGTTCATTGTAACACAACTTTACTGTATGAGCAGTAAATGTGACAAATGTTTTGATTTATGGTGAAACACCATAATTTGCAGTGGTTTATTCACCTCAGATTCTTCCTTTGAAATGGCAACACGTCCAATGGCACAAGATCCATCAATGAGGATGATTTTTCAATCTCTTGCTCCAGGTCAGCATTGTTGGTGCTGCCTGCTGCTGCAGTTGTACCAGACCATTGTCGCACAAAGAAACTTGCTCTGTTATTATCATGCTGGGTTCTACTCTTTGACATCCTGCTGCAAATTCCAGCAGTTCTTCCTATTGCTGTTGTTGATGATGATGATTTCCTAAGCGGATGGACACACCCCTACCATGAACATCAAGAACACATTGGTTATTGAAAATACCAAAAGTAAATCCCTCTGAAGGTGATTATTCTTTTCAACACATATTTCTGTGAGTTAGTCTATTAGGCGACAATTAATGGGAAATGAATCATACCCTTCTTGTGCAGAAGTTGATTTCATCTATTGTTGCTCCTGCTTTGAGGGCATCGTTGAAGGTCCCCTTGAAGAAATGGAAAATTTTTGATTGCATGACTATTCTATATTGATCAACTGCACTTTACTGAGCTTAGCCGAATGGAATAATGGAATAAAGTCATGCAAGCATAATTCATTTTTATGAAAATTTCCTGCTGACATACCATGGAGCACTGTAAATTGATTTCTAAATTATGTTCATACAGTAATTTCATGGTCACAACGAATTGAACTATTAAAACACTGATTGAGGATATTCGCTATTTAGGATACATTAGCTTTAGATTCTTTAATCAGGAAATTCTTAATTTAAAAAATAACAAAAAGAACGTGATGTACAGTACATATTATTCTTCACATGGCAGTTGGTCAAGTTCCACCCTGCAGCAGTGCCAGGATAGTTTTGCTCACTTGAGCATTTTACTTTGAATCAAGGTCACCGAAATGCAGCTTTGGCTGAGTAGCCCAGGTTGTGAAAAAGCCAGCATGTGGTATGCTATTGTTGTGTGTGAGCCACTGCTTCATTAAAAATGCAAGATGTACTGGGGTTTTCATATCCTGCAAACAATATGATAATTGAAACAATTTGAAAATTGAATTAGATGCAGCAAGTGTTGTGCCTAGAAGAATGGGAAATTTCCAAATTTTTGCTTGGGCTGAAACATTTTAAACAGCTTGTGACGTGGCTGGAGAACTCTCACCAAAACAGGAAAATTTTCACTTATCATTATGCAATAAATTTGAAAATTTTTATAAAAACTTGAAAAAATCCTAGAACCTCACCATTGCATGGGCTACACTAACGCTCCATCATGAAATGTTTTCACAGTGTTGCTTGGCCAAGAATTACCCAAGGCCAAGCATAAGTAAAGCAACCCTGGTATTGATATCTACCTATTTATCAAGTGTTTTTTATCCCTTAGGAAAATGGAAAATGGACCAGGATAATGAAACAATGAGCTATAATAGCTGGGATAACATGTGTGACGTGGGGAGGGTGTTGGTAGAAAACAGCTAGGTGACCTTGATCAGGTCCATTACACATTATACAGTAGTCCTCTGTTACACTTGACCAGGCTTGAAAAGGAAAATCCGCTCCTCCTTCCATCTCTGACAAAAGTCGGGGAAAAGAAGAAAAAATGAACAACAAATGAAGAGTGGTGTCAAGTCTGTTCCTCTCTTCTTCTGCAACAATCAACCAGCCACACCCACCATCACACTCCCGTATAGTGTGCTAACATTTAGCCGAATCCATTGCAAAACATACCTACACACACACACACATTCTAGCCAACCTCGACAGTAAGTAGAAAGAAAATACAGAGTACTGTACATCATACTGAAATAGTGCAAGGAGAAACTATAGCACCATACTAGAGACCTTGGAAATAAACTAATAGGACATATACTATATTTGTACTTTTGGTTTAAAATATACTCAACAAGCTTTGTAGGGAAAAGGGTAAGACAGCTGTTTGATGCTTATGCTTATGATAAATTGAGACATGATTAGCACCTTTCCGATTATATTTTTGAGAGGTTCCAAGAAAAAAGTTGAAATTAACTTTCATTAGTTTGTATACATGTCTTGCTACAAATTGCATTAAAATGATTAAATGATCTGCTCCTCCTTTTCTCATTACAGTACAGTATATGAATTCAAAGAGTTTTATTCTCATTTATTCATACACACAAATCACACTTCTATTTTATTGCATAAAGAGATATATTGTGACTAAAAAATTTATGTTCATTTGAAGGAAAAAGGCCAACAATAAAATCTTACAATTCTTACATTAATCTAACTGAATTTTGCACGCATGAAAAAAACATTTCATTTACTGTATACATGTTGATCGCAATGTTAATTTGTCTTCAAGATACATTCTGCTTTTCTGTTGAACTTGAGGAATGCTGCTCAGGTTCCAATTTTAAAGTTTCCCGCCAATGATCAAATAATTCGTTTAGGACCCGTTAACATAATTCATGTAAACATACATTATTCTGTACTGAGATTTGAAAGTGCATATATATATTTTTTACAGTTGTTCCATCACATGTTTCATTTGAAGAAATTATTGTAGGGAACTTTCTAAAAAGATGGCCATGGTGCAAATGGTGTTATAACATGATATTTTATCAAAATTCTTTCAGAATGCTAATCTTTCAAAGATAAATTCATTTTGTTGAAGATTCTGATGCAAACTTCTCGTCCACTACATTAAATTTGGACCATCGAACACCACCAAATAATTACTGCTACTTTGCCTGAAGAAAAGAGGAGAAAATCGTTTTTGACATCAAGTCATTTTGTGAGCAGAAATGTCACATTACCTTCGAGTTTCACTTTTTTCCAGGAGGTACTTATTGCTGATGATGATGATGATGATGAAGAGTGATGTATTACATTACCCTATCCGCTCAAATAAATGCCACATCTCTGATTATTGCTGACCTCTATCAAGTGCTGAGTTTCAGAGGAGATGCAAGCAAATTATAACTGTTCCATAATTGAAACCAGATCTCTGAATAAAGTGGTTGATCTCAATTTGAATTAAATTCACTGCATTTCAGTGGATTACCACAGGCCCTTGAGTGAGTCACGCATGTGATTTTTTCTACCAAAGCTTGAGATAAAAGACTGTCCCAATGAAGAAGGTCAACCCAATTTTCAGCAAAGGTATATCCAAGGGTCCACTAAAGGAAGCTCAAATTGTTCTTCCACTTCTTACAGATACCTTGAGTTTTGCTCAACATTTCAATGATTGCAGACACTTTTAATGAGAAATAGCCATTGACAAGAATAACCCCTCTTTCTTCAGACATTGAGGATTATATGTGCATTATATGTTTATCTGACACATAAAGTCAACTTTGGGTGTTTAAAACAGGCTAAATTGCCACCTGCATTTTTTGTAGAGTTTAATCTTACTATGAATATTTGGTCAATCACGATTGTCACTGACTAATAGAAAACCCATTCAAAAAAGGTCTCATTCATCAGCACAAACTCCTACATGCATATTTCTTTCCAGCTTATGATTAAGCGGTATTTTTGAAAAACGATGTGAATTTCCTTTTTTTTTAACGCAGACTTCGAATGGAGAAGCGAATTCTTTTCAAACAGAAAAAACTAGTTTGAATGTGCGAAAAAAACGAGGATGAATTTTCGCACGTGCCTCGAAAATTCTTTTTTTTTCCTCCTCATTTTTTTATGAAATTCATATGGCTTTTAATTTTTTTACTCACTAATTCAGCACTTGAGCGCGAGCCAGTATAGAGTTATTTTGCACATTGTCACTACTTCCTACTCCCTCACTATCATAGAACAAAAAAATGAAGTGAGAATCAATTTAATTTCGAAACCAGAACGAAATGAAGCGGAACTGAAATCTTTTCTTGTCCTTGAAACGTTCACTTTGGCACTTTCATTGACTTGAAAGAAAAAAGCCCGTTTGCGGCGACCTCGGGTTAATTGATTTTTAAACCCGACGACACTGGTCACCTTCAATAATTACGCTGCTGTCTTTTGTTTTGTTTTGTTTTGTTTTTTACAAATACAATTCGAAAGAAGGGAAAAATACAGTCTACAGAGTGCAAGATCATTGGGAACCTTCACGACGACGTTCGTCCATCGGCAGACTCGAGTTTTTCGACTGTAACTAATGGATCCAAATTGGAAAATTACATGCTACCAAAGAAAGAAAAAGCCAAATAAAACGAAATTTTGAAAAGAATTCGATCCTTGGCTTTCACCCGAATTTTATTGCCTAATTACGATCAACCGTTTCTCAATTACTTCAGCCCCCTCCCTTTTGTTTGTGTGTACTGTATATTGCATGTACACAATTCTCAATGAATCACTGCTGTACAGCGCAGATGATTTCGCATTTATTTCCGTTTGCCAATTCATACGAGGGGTCTAACGAAAGTTTTTGGGGGATAGCATTTATAATATGGCACATGATTGAGCTGAAAAAAATTATTGTTCCGCAAAAAAAAAAAACATTCATTGATGGCACAAGATGGAAAGCATGAAGCTAAGCAGGTTTGGAATTTTTTTCGTGTGAAAATGTCAAAATGGCAACATTTATTCAGAAGATGAGGAAGAATTTGCAAATGTTTTGTCAATTCATATCAGAGGGTCCAAAAAAGTAATGTGGTAGAATATAATGTGAAATGCCATATTGCTGAGCTGAAAACCAATTATTGACCCTGAAAAACATCCATAGGCACATGATGAAAAGAATGAAACCGTCTGTGGCATATTTTTTTACGAAAGTCAAAATGGCAGCTTTCACACATAATAGGTGAAGCAGATTTTGCAAATTTTCGAATCCTTGGAATTAATTCCATGCTATAATATCAGGAATTAATAAGGGAAAGCTGAATTATACACACAAAAATCTGCGAAAATGGCGCTTCAAAGTTAGAGTGCTGAAGAGCAGAAAACTTCTGTCATCATCAGGAAGACTTTTGCAAAAATTCCTGAAAAAAAGAGTCAAACAGGGAGCTATTTTCTTGTCCCAAAGAATATCTTTTCATGTTCTGAACAATAATATTTTTTTTTCAGCTGAATCTAATGCCGTTTGAACGTGCATTCCTAAAGCATTTGTAAGACCCCAGCAGGTATTTAGCAACCTTTTTATTCGAGTTTTTATTTCCCTTCATTCTTAGCTAATAGTGGTAAAATAGCTTCTGTCCTTCGACACGCGCGACAGAAACCTGTTGCATCGAATAATACGCGAATTTCCCTTTTTCTTCCCCCCTCGCCCGATTTTCGCGGGTTTAAATTTCGAATGTTTGTTTCTTTCTTCCCCGAATTTCCAAAACGGTTTCTTATTTTGGCGGGCAATGAGATTGAGACCTGGGTATAAAAACCCATGGTTGAACCCAGAGTACATCGCAGAACAACTTGCTCCTTCCATTCGACTACTACATCGCTTTTCGTATCGAAAGATGAAATCACAGTTTTTTTTTTANGTCCTTCGACACGCGCGACAGAAACCTGTTGCATCGAATAATACGCGAATTTCCCTTTTTCTTCCCCCCTCGCCCGATTTTCGCGGGTTTAAATTTCGAATGTTTGTTTCTTTCTTCCCCGAATTTCCAAAACGGTTTCTTATTTTGGCGGGCAATGAGATTGAGACCTGGGTATAAAAACCCATGGTTGAACCCAGAGTACATCGCAGAACAACTTGTTCCTTCCATTCGACTACTACATCGCTTTTCGTATCGAAAGATGAAATCACAGTTTTTTTTTTAATCGAAAAGTACTTTGTATAGATTCAGGATCGACGAGTGTTCTAATATATTCGTGTGTGTATTTTTGATAAACAGAAAACCATCGTTATATATTCTTTAAAAAACGAAAAGTTGAGGTGGCGTGTGAAATTGAAACCATTTATTCGTTACAGGAAGAAGTGCCAAAAATTCGAATTCTTTTGCGGTTTTAATTTTTGTCCGAAATCTGCACATATCTCAAGAAAAATGAGTCCTCGTGTCGTGATGGTGAGCTCTTAATTCTATACTGATTTTTAAAAAATCATTTGTAATTTTTTGGTTCCATATCCTAGTTATTTGATTTAATTTGCCAATATTTGACACACGTCTAGTCGCGTAATAACCCTAACCAACGACAAGAACGACGTTTGCGATTAGGCAGCCTAGTCGCTAGTGACATAGTGATGGTTCTGTGCGTGTTCCACCATAAATAAACACTAAAATTTTAATAATCTTGAACTAATTTCACTGAAAACTTGAATTAATGCTTCCACCAGAGGGCGTATGACTTTGGTTACCAACACGCTGATGCTTACACCGGAAATAAGCAAGGCCGGAAGGAAACTAGAGACGGATACGGAAATGTTCGTGGATCTTACAACGTTAGTATATGCACATATTTTCTATAAATAAAATTCATATTTGTTAAAGGAGTTGAAATTTAAACAAAAAGTTTCAGACTTGCAAATTTCCACAAAGAAAAAATCCCTGCAGACTGGCAAAGTTGCAAAAAATGCTCAACTTCAAAAAAGGTTTTGTTTGAAAGACTTATTGCTTGGCAAGTACTCTGCTTTAAAATGGTTTGCTTTCTTGCAAAAAAAAAAAAGTTATTAACAAGTGAAGCGGCTATATAGTCGAATATCTTCAAAAAATGGGCAGATGGGTTTCATGAAAGGTTTCTCAGAATTTGACCAACTAAAATGATTTACTTCAGCACTTGAAAATGTGTTTGAAGTTTTATTTGGAGAAAATAAACTTTTATTCTTCGTCACATACTGTAATTCCAACTGCCATTCTCTCTCCTAAATTTAAAATACAGATAACAGATGTTATTGCTACTAATCATAAATATAGTATGTTCAGGAAAACTTCCAGCAGACTGGCAAAAAAAAAAGGGACACCTGGACACGGTCAGGAACCTGGTACCCAACACCTTCTTTCGTAATAATATTAGTTACGTAATTTTTGGAAGAGTTGGCCTTTCGAAAAGAAGAGTCTAGAGGTGTTATAGTTTAAAGACTCCCTTTTTGGAAATTATCCTCTCCACACTGAAAATATTACAGCATTGATAAATAAAACTTGATGTGTTTTAAAAGTAAGTGAATGTATAATTGGGCATTTCCACCCTTAATCATCCAAATTCATCATCCTGTCAGTTTATTCAAAAAGGAATTCCAGGCCCCAATGAAGTACCTGTCTGAATTGTCTTTAAACAAAATTATAAAATTCTCTTACCATCAAAGGCTTCCCTTCTCAAATCTCCACAACTCAAATTTTCTGGAGTTATTTTGGCTAAAAATTCAATTGGTACAAGGAGGGAAAAGCAGTAAAATTTATTTGTGTGCTTTGCTAAAGAAAGGGAAAGACTGAATGTGCACAAATGAATCCTTGCCTCGACATTCAACAACCTGTAAACTCATTTAAAAAGCAATTCAAAGCCCAGAATATCACCAACTGAAATATCCTGTAATACAGTACTTTTTTTGTGCAAAGAATTCTTGCTTCCGTGAATCTTTTTTTTTTTTATACTCTTCCCTGTCCTACAGTAAATTCATCAGCATGATACTCATTTTCAAGCTTTTTAATCCCTCTTCTTATACCTGTGGACCTGTGCCAGTCCTTGGACCATGGGTTGTGGAAGAAAGCATTATTATAATCAATGCATTAAAAACCTTCTCAACCGGAAAGCTTTTCTTCTCAGATCTCCACAATATCAAATTTCTGAGTCTTTTTGGAAATTATCCTCTCCGCACTGGAATTGTTACAGCACTAACAAATAAAACTTGATGTGTTTTAAAAGTAAGTGAATAAATAATTGGGCAATTCCACCCTTAATCATCCAAATTCATCATCCTGTCAGTTTATTCAAAAAGCAATTCGAGGCCCCAATGAAGTACCTGTCTGAATTGTCTTTAAACAAAATTATGAAATGCTCTTACCATAAAAGGCTTCCCTTCTCAAATGTCCACAACTCAATTTTTCTGGAGTTATTTTGGCTAAAAATTAAATTGGTACAAGGAGGGAAAAGCAGTAAAATTTATTTGTGTGTGTTGCTAAAGAAAGTGAAAGACTAAATGTGCAAAAATTAATCCTTGCCTCTGCATTCAACAACCTGTAAACTCATTTAAAAAGCAATTCAAAGCCCAGAATGTCACCCACTGAAATATCCTGTAACTGTCATGAAAAAAACACGTTTCTTAAGAACGAAGGCACTTAGAAAAAAAAAAAATATGAGAAGGGACAGGATGTCATTTAAGTAGTCGTACTATGAGTAAAAGTTCGAAAAATTAGGGAGAAGAATATTTTGATTGTTTTGTTTGCTTGCATCAGCTGGTTGAACCTGATGGCAGTTACAGAGTAGTGGAATACAGTGCTGATCATCACAACGGATTCATTGCTCACGTCAAGGACAAGCACGGAGTCAGAACTTTTGGGAAACCCGGGTACGGACCCGGACACGGACACGGACCCGTTGGACCCCATCATCACCACCCGGGAGGACCAGTCTATTAGTAATTTAATCCCGAATAAATCGTATTCTTATTTTCAATTATTATTATCAAATACTCTCATCAAAACACTTTTCGGTTTTCCTTTTGTAAAAGCGTTTTGTGTGTGCGTGTGAGAAAAGGAGAAAAGGTTTTGGGAAATGATGAGGAAACGTCTACAGCAGGTATATTGGGTTAAATTTTTGCTCGTCTTCAACATCGGGAAGAAAAATTTTAAATTGCAAAAGACGTGGTGCATTTTTCTTCGACGTGTCAATTTTTGCGAGAAAAGAATTCGGGGTTGAATTTCTCGGATTTCAAGCAGAAGGGTTAAAATTTATCCGGGCTCATCAAGCCTGCAGCAGCCCAATTTTATTCTTGGGGTCGAAATTCTTTGGTTGCATTCTTGAATTCCCAAAAAGAAGGTAGAAATTTCATCATGTAGGAATCATTTCATTTTTTCAGAATATACACGTACGAACAAATTTTCAATTTGACCCGCAATTTTCTCAGTACTGAGGTGTTTTGAAAAGGTGGAATTTCTTTCGTCATCGTCGAGTCAATTGTGTGATCTGCTTCGTAATTACGTCATCATCGTCATCAGCGAATTAATTTGTGATCGTGATGAATCAATTTTTGTTTCATTTGTTCGTTTGTCATCGTTTATACATGTATACTCGTGTTTTCTGAAAAACGCTGAGAGAAAAAAAAATGAGTGAAAAATAGGACTTGAGAGTATTTTCTTTTTGTGTGTGTGTGTGTAAGACTCTGCTGCTTTCTGTCCTTCATTTCCTCAGACTTATTCATGGGAAAAAGGAAAAGTGCGGAACTAATCGGAATTTCGGTTTTATCGGTTCCGCCGTTTGCGCTTCTGCACAATAGATAAGAAAGAACTATTATACAGGGCGAGGCTTTCAAATAAAAAAAAAAGGCATCAGCAGACAGAGAGAAAAGCCTGAGGGGGTTTCTGGAAGTTCTAGGCATGCACGGACAAAGAGTGTTTTCCATCATCAAAAAATGATCAAATCCATCATCAATTTCCCCAATAATATTCATGCATCCAGTCTTCTGGGGATGAGTTGCCATTAAACTGAAACGGTTGGCAAATGTGTTTTAATTGGAAAAGAATTTGAATGACTATTTTTCTAATGTAATCCTCATTAGTACTGTAGTAATCTAGCCATAAAATATTTAAAAGACTTCTTCTAAGAGAAATCTATCCTGAACCTCAAAAATGCAAAGCACCCCCAAGGATGTTAAACTTTATTTCCAAATATCTTTTTTCAGAATGTACAAAAGAATCCACCTCCTTAATCAAAGTCTCTACAAAATCTGGAGAGATCAATTGCATATAAACTTCCTCTGTGTTCAACACAAAATTGCAACTTGAACTTGAAAAAGGAATTTCTGTAATAATTTTAAAGCGGATATTTTCAGATATGGGTGCGTTTTGCCTATACCACACGAACCTTGAAAACAGTTGAGAAATGTTTGTAAGGTAGAAAATACAATCTTAATTTGACTATTTTTAAGGCATGGCGGCTCATATTGAATAAAATTCAGAGTTATTGCTTTTTCTGAGCTGTCCAGGTAATTTTCTTTAAATAAAAAAATAACTACTAATTTGTCTTATGTCCCAGAAAGACTCATCTCTTTGTCAAGTGGCCAGCCAGCACTTATTGAGTTGGGCAGAAATGATCCAGATGGAAGGTGCTTAAGAAGTTCAGATACAGTATCACCCAAATGGAGACAAGCAAAAAACTCGCATTTCTCATTACAAGAGGTTAATAATTGAAACGTGAACATGTTCCTTCTATTTACCATCAGAGGAAAATAGAAGTAGACTGAATTCAACATCAGAGTAATTTATAATTGTGAAAAACATGAAACATGTAATACACTGAAGTCCTGTTGAAAAAACCCTTGAAACCCATTTTCAGTAAACATTTTTTATTGGACATGCTGTGATTTTTCTAAAAAAAAATCCCTTAAATAAAGGAATTGCTACCTCAAATTTCATATTCAAAATATGTTTGTAATTGGCTCTTTGGGGGAATTAATGGAATCTTGGATACAGAACAAAAATTCTTCAAAATGCACCTGAACATCTTCTCTTCTATAGATTTTTTTATGGTTTAGGAAGAGGGGTAGGGGTTTTAGACAGAAAAAAAGAACCCAGAAAAACGTATTTAACCCTTGGACCGCGAAGGGTTCTTTCCCATTGCCAGCCGAAATTGGATTATTCTCGTATGGTAAGGCGTTTTAATTTTTCTGAAGGTCAGAAAAGACCTTCCAGGTGGGCTGAGGCAAAGTCGGGATTAATCCAATGAAAAGCCCATTGCTTAGCATAGCATTTTTTTTTCCTTTTTCCTGCAAAATTTTTCTGTACAAAAAGAAAAAAACATCAGATTTTTCCCTGCCTTTGTCCTCAAATCCCTGTTGTCCTTTTTTTATTTTCTGCCCTGAGGTGCAACAAAATTTTGCAAAAATAGTCTGACTTTGCCACCCAAGGGTTAAAAAGGTTTCAGGACTTGTTTGGAGTTCATATGCTTGAGAAACTCTACATGGTCCTCAACAACTGCAAGCTGTTATGGAACATCCAACATTCCAAGGAGACATATCTTTCCAACATCTGGGAATTTCTCAGGAAAACTTGAAGTTCACAAAAAGTGCAGTGTTCAGCATGCACCTGTGCATCATACAGAGTAAATGCTTGTCATTGTCATCTGAATTTTTTTCAAGATCATAGATTTTTTGGATATGGAAAACATCTGAATGAAAGTCCATGATGGAAGGAAGATATTAAATATATTCAGGTTTTATTTGAGACAACCTTCCCAATAAAAACATTTTATTAGTCTCAATATAAAAATATGCTCATTATAACAAACTTTTTTCTGAAGCTCCAACATATTTGTTGAAATGAGATTTTACTGTAAATATATAAACATATAGACGCAATATCCATATGTGAATGAACTTTCAAAAAGGACCAAGTACATGCAAGTGTTTCTCCCAAAGAAGAGTGACTTAACACCCACACACACACACACACATTGGGTAAGTTAGTCTCCATCTCTGTTTGTTCATTGTTACGTTATCCGTCCAGCGTCGGTTGGCATGCAGGCAATTCGAAAACTTAATCGAGCTCGTCGAACCTTGTCTCAACTGTCGCAACCGGAACTCAGCTCTATATACAGTATCTAGATAAAGGAACACACATATATAAACAATAAATTTTTAAAAAAAACGAAAATTTATCGACCGGAATAAATAAATCCATTTATTCCTCGGCATCCGTTTAAAATAACTGGGACAGAAAAAAAAATTCTTGTGTGAGAAAATGCGTCTCTTCATGGGGATTCTCGCTGTTTCCCTGATGCCCGCCTCATCCCGTGGATACTACGTAAGTCAACCCACAATCATTATACTGTATTCTGGCCTCATCAAAAATGTAAATGAATTTCTTTTAAAGAGCGGCAAGAAAGGATTCCTGATTTAAATTAAACCTGGATTTGAATAACTCAAACCAAATTGGAATAGAGTCAAGCCCTAATTTCAGTGCCATCTCACTTACTGCCACTAACAAACTTTCCTGCCCTGGATGAAAAATAGGCCAAAAATTCTCAAAATTAACGCATACTTGTGTATAGGGATAACATTATTTTATTACAGAGAAGCACAAGCTCTTGCTCAGGATGATTGAAAAAAAGTCTAAGTGTGAATTCATTGCAATTGAGAGCAGGTATTTTGAATGTTCTCCACAGCTGAAAGCAGCTGATAATTAGTCTGTTTAAAATTTTTGAAAATCATTGAATCTGATGTTCCAATTGTTTGATTGTATTGAAATGCCATCAATGTAAAACTGCAAGAAGCAGCGGTTCCACTCTTTTACACTTGACAATCAGATACAGTTTACAGTATGTCCAGAAATTTAACGTATTCTTTGCTGCATGACTTACATTTAAATGCAATAAAAACAGTTCATTTGAATTTCAAATTATTTTGCATGGCCTTCTCTTTTAATGAACAACTACAATGACCTGAACAATCTGAAGAAAAAAAACCTGTTTTACCTCTCTCAGAAGCGCTCAAATGACTTTTATTTTGAATCAATGCCCTCATTTTAGTCTCACAAAATGTGTCAGGACAAACAATGGCACTAAGTTGGGGTATTGTACCAGCAGAAAATTCATTTACTGGCTTCTAATATACCTTGGGTAAAATGGGGTTTTATGTAGAATTGTCAGGCTATTAAGTCAATCTGTTAAGACAGAAGCAAAAGCCAGGCAAAATAAATTTGAGACTGTTTTCAATGCATTTAAATTAATGCTTCAGTATACAGAATGAATCAGATTTCGTTTGTCCTGGTATAATGTGTCGCAATAAGCAAGAGTGACACTCAATTGTGGTTTGACTGAATACTTTGTCAAATTCTTCTCAAATGCTTGCCTGAATTTTCTTGGATAAATGCAATGAAAACCTAACTCCAAGGGTTTCTTCTTCATTTCTCCATACAGCTCAAACTTTTTTGGGAGACCTTTTGGGTATCACAGTGTTTTATTAACAAAGGGAACATAAAAGCAACAAAAAATATAATGTAATATACTTCGAAAGGATGAAGTGAAAGACAACTTTTGGCAAAGGAACCCTTGCCTGGAAGTGTTACACCCTATCCTCTATAAACTCAGTTGATGAGCAATTTCTTGCGTAGTATACCGTCAATTCGAATTCCCTGCAATTTATTTCCGATCTATTCTACAATTCCTGGAATAGGTTCAATTGCTAAAAAAGAATTCTTCTATTTTCCATCGTTTTCAGCCCGAGAAAATGCCGCCACAAATGAATATTCCCAGGGATCCCCAGTCTGGACCTCCGAACCCTCTGATGGAAATGTACAAACAACTCATGCTAAAGTTCAATCCGATTCAGGATCGCTTGGACGCCATTGAGCAGAAACTGAACCCGGAAAATAATTCTGAAAATCCAGAAAAACCAGTCATTGAAGATATTTTGGCAGAATTGCAGCTACAAAGCAACAATCTCCACTCGAGAATCGCCCACTTGGAAGCATATGTTTACGAATTAAGTGAGTGCTATGATGAATTGCTGGATTCAGAGAAAATCCGTTACTGTACAGTGAATGTCACATCAAACCGAATGCATGGTTACAACGAATTTTCACTGGCCCCAGCAGCAGTAACTTTCGTAGGACCCAATGCAAAACAATCTGGTTTCATAAACTTTATTTAGCCTCTTATCTCAGTTATTAATTTGATAATCAGCAGAAAAATGGAAGAATCCAACTTATACAGCTTTCAGAACCCATAAAGAAGCAAATCCTACTGTAATAGACAAAATTTACCATAAAAAATACACAGTGTGTCATATTGCCTGCAAGATTCTCTACCTCCATTTGAAAATGTCTACCAATTTTTTAAGAAAAAAAAGCAGTTCAGTATAAAACTCAAAAACAAGACACCAATCCCGTCATTTTCTCAGCCTACAAGAAATCCGTTTATTCCCAGGAAGACACTGTGATCCCATTGGATGAAAAAGTAGTAGACACTGCGTCCGGACTGGATCTGGCAGACGGCACTTACACTGCTTCAGTTGCTGGCATCTACAGCATAGGTTTCTACGGTCGAAACTTCGATGCAAGTGACACCTATGTGCAGATCCGCTTGAACGGCAAAGCCATTGGAGACGTAAAGCAACTAGATGACGCTACTTTCGGAATGACTCTCATCCATCCCCTGGAAGTCGGGGATGTCCTGGATTTGTTCCTGAGTTCCGGTGGGGTTTCCAGCAACGCAAACCGTTTCCTTTACTTTACAGGGTATTTAATAGGTTATTGAACTGAACTAAAGTGATATGTTCGGTGACTTGAGATGTATGGCAGCCGTCCTAATAGAGAAGACTTTAAAGCTTCCTTGACTAAGTAATTAGATTATACCTAAACTATGCCTCGCGCTCTTATTTGAATTAAGTTAACGAACTGGAATAAGGCATCCGCAGGAATGCGTATATCCAGAACGAAAAGGCTTTTGAAAACTGCATATATAAATTCGTACGAATTCACAAGAACGGTACTGCATTATATTTCACAATATAATGAATGCATATATTACAGTATATGGAACTTCATCAAACAGGTATAAAAATTACTTTATTTTATAGCAAAAGTTGGTCGCAGAGAATAAACGGAGACGAGGCCCCTTTATCCGGCGGAGTCAAATGTCCACTTCACAATTCTACTTCATAAAATTGTGAGATAATGCTACAGTATGGGGGAAATATAACTTCCACGCCATCTCTGCTGTCCATCATATTACATCATACAGGGGGTCTCATTTTTTTAATGAACTTAACCCATTATTGAGCAAAGTTTTTAAACCAAATACAGAAGTTATAGTAACATAGTAACCAAAGCAGATTTTCCCTTGAGAAAGTATCCAGGAATGATTTCAATTGGTTCCCAGTCAGAACCTTGCAGTGGGAGTGAAAATCAATGCCATTTTCACCAAAAATGTTCAATGGGCTTGAAATTTAAGATGTTTTTTTTTAAATAAAACGTTAGAAAAGAAGCTCAGAGAAGTATTGATTAGGACAGCTGGAGCCTGGGAGTGGTTTGATTGAGTCAACACTCTCTAAGGGAAATATGAAATCAGCAAATTATGTAGGGGGGCTTTTTCAAGCTCAAGCCTTCAAAGTAATTCATGCAATTTTCATTTAAAAGCAACCTGTGTCTGTGAACAGAATAAAGAACACAATGTGCAGGTGTGCAATACTATATCTATACGTGGAAAATAGATAAAAATCACATTGAAATGGGAATGTTGTCATGAATGAAAAGTAGAATGAGAGAACTGTCAAAAGAGAAATTTGAAAAAAAAATCGACAGCAATTTCAAAATCAAAATTGTGAAAGAGTTGTTTTATTCTCATTATTCCAACTATGCTGTATGGAAGAGAAAGAAATAGCCACTGGTCTCAGGCCAGGAACTAACAAAGGATTGATTGAAAATGAATAACTAACTCAGCTAAGGATTTTGGGCCTCATTGCAGGAGACAATACTCACAAACTGTCAACTCTTGTTCAGAGGTCCAAACACAGATATCCGTAGAGACCGAGTAGTGACCAGGGTACCTGAGACTACTCGTAGGGTCCTCTAGTGTCTTGTCTGACATCCTTGGTCTGTTCATAGTTGTGACTCTGACCTCATTACGTTCACTGCAGGATAGGCTGCAGGATAGATAGATTAATTCAAGATCACAGTAAAGACCAGAGTAAGACCAAACATTAGACTAAAAGAAGACTGAGTCACAGAGGACTAACTATTAAGACTGACAGAAGAATAACTGACTAAAAACTGACTGGCAGAGTGGCTGTTCATAACGCATAGTCCTTTTTATACAAGCCAGAAAAATCTGGGATTGAGCCAGGTTCAACAAAGTTGCCCTTGGCTAGACCCTGTCTTTGTGCAGGTTCTCACTCTGCAAAATTTCCCCTTTGAGGGACAAAAAGTTACTTTGGGGTGCAGCATAGCTCATCCTGCCACCTGCACTTTCTTTTGAAGCTGCACAATGTTGTGCAGCACATCTATATCTGGCACTGGCTTGCAATATCCAACATCAGCTGCTGGAAATATATACCACGGTTAAGGACTGGGTTCCGTCACCTGTAAGACTCTCTGGACGGAAACTTTGGGACGTCGAAAATTTGGTTCAGTACTAAAGAATCCGTTTAATCGGTGACGGTTTTACGTTTCAAACAAATCCCAATATTTTTGTTAACCTGTGCATTTCTTAACAAATAGACCCCGCCACTTTACATCTGTTTATCTGTATATCATATAAAGCATTATTTATCTGTTTATTTACAGTATGAAGTTTTCCTTCATAACAAGGCACAGGGTGGCATTATAGAATTGTAATATCGAAATATATATTCAAACCTTAGCACATCTTCTCAAAAATCATTGTAGAAGGTCATTGCCTATATATTTCAGAACTAACTCAGTTTGGGTGGAGTTATCTACAGCTGAAATTGTTACTGTGAATGATCTGCATATACAGTACTTTTACAAATATCATGCATTTGGCATATTTGGAATTCAAAACACTGCTTTTAAACCTAAGGATAACTCCTGACCAGGGTTGTTGATTGCAATAAAAAAAAGTTGCCAATTGCACTTGCTTTTTCTCCATAAAATGTTGCAAGAATCTAAATTGAAATAACTGCTGCATGTTACAAAATTTAGATCATGATTGCAATTGTGCTTGATTTCATTGAAATTTGAAACGCTTAAACAAGTGTGTGGAGGTGACTGGAGTGGCGTGGAAGTGAGTGGCAGTGAGTAGAAAACTGCTGAAATGTCCATGTGCCAATTTTCCACTATAGGTATTGACCTCTGCTGATGGTCAGAATTCCTGTGTACCACCATTGTCACTATTTACCCCATCTACATGAAAAAGGGAAGAACTATATATGCTGCCTTCCGAAATTTTGAAGGAATTATTACAATATTAAAAATTTTAATGATGCATTAATGGAATTTTCATCCTAAAAAGTATTTATCCTATAGAATCCAAAATTATAAAAAGAATTTGGAATGAAATTTTATTGCCTAACCCCAATTGCAAGTGAAATTGCGAGTACAGTAACTCGAAGGATTAATGCCCAATCCAAATCGCAGTCTTTATCTCAGAACTTTTTTGAATGCCCAATCTAAATTACGAGCATTGTAAGTTTGATTTTGCTTGCAATTGGGGTTATACTTGCGGCCCAATTAACAACCGTGTTCCTGATATTGCTGAAGAAGAAGGAGGAAAAAGGTCATATACACTCTACACTGTAGGGTATTAATTTTGACAATTTTTTAGTTTATGGTTGCTATACAATTGCCCAGGCATGGCTGAGCATCCCAAGTTGGATTTGTTAAGACTGAAGAGCAATAAAATTGCCATGCTGAGGTGCCAGTTATTATGGCCCATGTTGGTGGCCCACAAGTATACCAGTATTGAGCTGAAGTACTAAATCACCAGTGGTCCTTCACATGTGTAACCAGCTTTCATAATTGTATTCTTGCTTTAATTCTCTGCATAATTTGTGTAAAGATGCTCATATTGGCGTGGCTGATGGTGGGCACCCTCTTGTGCATCAAATAGGATTGTGCTCTATTGTAGACCAGCAAATGTTTTGAATCTAATATTTGTTTGGGGCTTAGGTTCGGCTGCATGGGCACCCACACTTGTGATATTGCCAAAAAATTATGAGCTAAAGCGAGGGAAAATGCACTGTAATTGAAAACAATATTTTCTTCCAAAATCTATTTTTACTAATACAGTATTTTTCGATTTCTGTATGAACAGCAGTTGAACAAACATTTTATTTCACGCGCCAGTTTCATATGTTTTATACAAGGGTGATGGACACATTTTCACTTTGCGTGGCTAATGCAAAACATTTTGTTTTTCGAAAAGTGAGCGTGAATATAAGTTTTGAA